ACAATTGCTCGCTCGGCGACAGCTCACGCGCTTAGAGCTGCTCTGACGGAAGTTCTCAAATTCTAGGGCAGCCGCGCCGGATGCTTCTCCAGGCTCGGCTGCCGCGGAGCGTGGTTTGAGAACCCCTGCACTCCAAGCATTCAGCGGCATGTCTTCAGGAACGCCTTCAGAACCCTGCGGAAGTAAAACCATCACCTCGAATCATCGCGAGAATTTCGTCGCGCTGGATGTGTCACACGATCGTCAAGATATGCACATTGCATCGGCTTCCGGTTCGCAGTGATGCCGGTTCGACAGAAATGCTGGCCTGGCGTTAGTACTGCGGCTGAGACGTGAAACAGCATGCAGAGCGTGTGCAGCAGCGTTGGCGTTTGTGTCGTGCACCCCTTTCGTGTTTTTTTCTGACACTTTGCACTGATGGTCGTCTTCATTCGCCTCGCATGCTTTTTCGAATTTGAATCTTTGGTGACTGCAACTGTTATCGTTTTTGCCGCCGTTTGCTTTTGTTTTAGACGGTGCTTTAACTTGAGCCCGTGCTTTGCGTCGTTTCCTTGTTCCAAAATTGTTGGTGAGAAAACGCCGACAAAAGAAGAGGTGCATCGGAGTCGGAGGAATCATTCCTTATTCCTCCGACGGTCCTCATGTATTTTGCGTCTGACTCTCAAGACCTATTTCAAGGCGCTCGTTATAGCATGCACGCAGTTTGCACCTATTTGCAGTCTGCACCTACCTATATCATGCGCGCAGTTCGCATCTTTGCTCTTCTGCAGCTGCTGTTCAGTCATGTATTCAACAAGTGGGCCGCGTCCCGTTTTGAGAATACACATCTTGTTAGATTCTGTGCTTCGGAAGACAAATAAATGACACCTCGTTCACCAGCCGTAAATAGACGGACAAACGACAGTGCTAATTGAGCTGGTTGAGCTGATTTTACGGAGAGCAACGTTGATACCCCCACTGGACGTTGGAGTAAGGCGTAGCCCTGCCCGTCAATTGATAAAAGCGATTTCAGACATGAAATGAGGCAAAGCCTGCCTATATTCGCACAGACGCAATTAAATTTTGATGCAAGCCAAAGAACGTATTCAGCTACTGACCGTTGGCACCGTGAGTTCACAGTTTTATGCTGAGTTATCGATCTTCAGTAAGCCAGGAGATAGATCACAAGTGTTCGTAAGCAAAACTTGAAAAGTCTGGTTCTGTCAATGTGGGTAATGCTTGCTCCGTAACGTTAAAACAGTGTGTGTTTAACCTATTGAAGATTCATAACTCTGTAGGCTTTGATAGATTATAGCTCTGATCTCAGCTAATATGTCAATATTTTAAGCGCGAGTCGCCCTCAACTTTTTCCTGGAAATACTTCAGTAACACCGCGTAATGCCGCAGCTTTTCTGCAGGCTTTGGAATTCATGCCGAATTATCCTCTCATGCAGACGCTCACCTTACCTATGTAAGGAACGGAGAGAGAACCTTCACAGAGCCTAACCCTGAACCTGGGGCGAAGTTTCCGCAACATGATTTGAGGTGTGGGGGGGCTGATTAGTGAAAAATAACGCAGCCTATCCCCAAAATACTCCAGCAAACGAGGTTTCCCGGATTTTACCCCACTTCTTCCCAAAGTTAAGCGGGGCTGAAGCCCAAGTTGAGACGGGGGGGGGGGAGGGGGAGGGGGGGTGGGAGGGGGGAGGGGGTGGGAGCTGGAGCTCAGTCAACCGAATAAAAAACTACCTGCCTACTACTATCTACCAGCCCTGATCCCTCACATGCTAGCTGCTGCTTGCTATCATCTGACGGCCGCTCGTTACGTGCTATCAAACGCCACACGTCGCACCCCATGCAAGTGGGAGGAAAGTGGGAAGATGGCGGGGGAGGGGGTGGGCGGGTTAGATTAGTAGGGTCAGGAACCCGGAGGAAAGCGACACCTCCTCCTGACACATGAGCTTCCGCTGGGTGAGGTCAAAAACGCCCTCCAGGAAATCACGTGACGAGCTTCCTGCCGCACCTCCTCTGACGTGATGCATCTGAGATGAGTATTCTGCATGCAGCTGTCATATCAGCGCAGCGTGCCGTAAAAGCCGACGCGAAGTAAAGCTTTGGGAAGGATGCCCCCGAAGCACTCATGGGCACTGATACCAAACTCAAGTATTGAATACTAATTGAATATCAATTGTAGCTTTTAAAGCAAACGATGGGAGCGACCGAACTGATAGGCGCGTGCTCTTTCAATCAGGAGACGAAAAATGCGCAGACCAGGAAATGTACAAATGGGCACAAGTTGACTCAAAATATGTGCGTAGGAACCATGTCATGCGCATGGTATAATCAACCTAAGAAGCTCGGGAGATGTCAGAGGGCGTGATCTGCTTGCCCAACATAACGTGACACTCCGAGCACACACATGCATGCTTGGCGCCAGAGGCGTTCTTAGGATCTCAAAATGGGGGGGGGGGGGGGCGGCATAAACCAAAAATTTGACAGGGAACCGAGTTTGGCGCACCGC